CCACAAATTGCAGTGAAGGGGCTCGATAATGCTCACAGCGCTGTTTCACGTGCATGAAAGCGTTATGAACCGCTTCCGCTCAAGAAGATTCGGTGATTGTACTGTATTCGGTGTATTCGGTGGGAACTATAGACCAGACAGCGTTAAATCAGGCAACTGTGACCTTCGTTTAACAGCAATGGATACCTGGAATACCTTGCGTCCTGCATAGGGTCGAAATCTCTGCTCGACGACCAGAAGTTTTTGCTGTCTTGACATCGGCGGCTTACGATGGTGATGAGGTCATAGAGAACGAACTAGAGAGCAGCCGAGTCGCACGCTCCTTCATTAAGAGCAGACCCAGCCTGAAAAGTGGCTCTAAATGAATCTTTGTAGGATGAGAAATAGGAGCACATTGTTATGAGCAATATGAGCAATTGACATTGTTCATCATAGTCTTTTTCATGATATAGTTGTAATACGTTCTCCAGGGGTGGAAGGATGGTTTCCCATGTGTTCACTGATCCCCGGTTCTTGATTGCGGTACACGTTCACCGTTTTGAGGTTATTGCACTCCTTCCCACATACGTCTTTTCAATAACACGTTCGTTATGACATCGTTTCATAGTTGACAATGCCTGATAGCATCAAACAGTGTAAGTTGTTGAATAGCATATCTGTTAAGAGGGTATTCGGCAAATGATCTGACCTCTTCCCACCGTTAATTTCACTCAAGCTCGCGTTTGATTCTTTTACGAGACTTTGTAGCTTCCCTTTCTGCATCTCTGATGCCTTGTGAGAAAATCCGGATTTCCGTTTCTAGAACCGGTGATGGGTCTGAAAGTGGATAAGTTATGCAGACGACATGGTTGCAAGCCCGTTTCTACAGTTGAGCGTTTTGGGAGAGTTTTATTGAGATTGCAGTTCACGAATCAAGCAGCAACACTCACGCTTAAAAGTGGGTAACAAAGTATGGAATCACTTCAATCTTTTTCAGAACACTAGCAATTTCTAGGTCTCTCTTGGAGGGAAAGACTTTCTGCACCCAATTCGAACAGCCTCGGTTTAAAGTGCAAATGACATCAATCAAGTGCAAAAACAAGAAGTCGTGATCTTTTTCCTGTTGCGATCAGCTTAATGGATGATCATTAAATTGGAAACTTTATTCTCATCCGTGTCATAACTCATTGATGAAAATCCATTGGAGTGGTTTAGTGTATTACGCCAGAAATGAAGTTCTGCATCTATTAATTTCCTTCGCTTTGCTGTGAGCTTTTGTTTTTGCACTGCCCCTAGTACCTCTTCCATATATCCTTCCGTAATATTCGGTAAAAGGACTTAGCTTCGACTGCGTTTCATCTCATTGTCAGATGGCTGCATGTCTTCGGTACTTCCTTGGGTGCTCTCATTCTTTTACCATTTCTTCAATAAATGGTGGTAGATACATATAGTGTAACAAAGCAGAATTATTTGGGGCTAATAGTGCTTTTGTTAGGTATGTGCCCAGCGTTTATCTGCGTTTTGCGACATAACTAGCGATAGAGACGTTCTGTTGATAATCAATTTCTTCGAGCGGGTGCCAGTGCTTTCTTCTTTCGTCCCTGTCGCGAGCTGTGTAGCCCATTGAATCGTCCTCGCTTCAGGGACATGAGACATAGAACTCCATTCATTCAGGGTTTTCGGGAAGATGTTTGGCTTTCGCGCTGACGGCAGCCTGGTGTTCGTTTGACTATCCAAAGATTCCAGTCAGTAAACGCCCTAGTCCAATGGCCATCACCTTAACGCATAGCATAACGTGTCTGGCGTACCTGATCTTCGATTCCTTGGCGTAGGCAATAGCGTTTTTGATCGTGGAAAAGGAATTTAACTTCGAGCTCTCCTCTGCTTTTGTATAGGGAAGTTCCGAGCACCGTCCTATCGATAGCGCATTGAATAACGCTGACTGCATGTCCATCCTGCCGAGCATTTTCTTCTCCCCAGCTGCGAAGTTTTGTCATATTGACTACTCGGGGTGCGCTTCGTTGCTCGTGTCCGTCGAAACTAGGTCACGCCGCAGCCGTCGCACGCGGCGAGCCGGCCCGCGATATTTGACAGACGTCGCAATTGTCACTGGGGCATACGCTTTGCTTTTGGTCCACGGCAGTCAGTTCAAGAAGAAGATAACACAGACAAATGCAAATCATTTGCTCCAGTGACACTTGGTGGTACTGTAATGTTATCTCGAGACCTCAGTGTGATGCGCCGCGCGCGAAGTGGGCGGGGTGACCTACTTTCGACGGACACGCGCAACGGACGATCTCCGACTACTCGAGCTAAATATGAATATGTTCACATAACTGGAGCACTCAAAATATTTGTTTCGTTTAGCGTAAAGGGAGCATTAGGCACGATAGATGGACACTCTTTATTAAGCGCAAACGAAGAATTCGGTCAGCATTCGTTTTCACGATTACAGGTGGTACCAGTACGAGTGTCGTCTGCAAAGCGATGATGTAAGTAGCGGCCGTTAATCTTCACTCCTAAGTCTTCCTATTCCAAATGTAATATAGTATGATGTTCTCAGGAGTGGCACGGCACTGAGAAGTTCGGGCGAAATAGTATTGTTCGCCGAACTCCTCTCTTTAATGGCTTCCTTGTAGAATGTTGAAATCTTTGAAGTAGAGCTTGAAACTTCCTTGTGTGTTGGACAGGAACATATGTTGCTTCTGTCTCGAAGTATCAAAGCAAGCAGTTTGGACGGCGTTGCCAATATCGTCTAAAATTGTTTTCTTATGCAGCAACACAGTCTTACGAGTTTACTACGACTTGGGCGCTGTATTCCGACAGGTACCGCTTAAAAAGCATATCGACGAGAACTGGTAGAGGCCCTTTGGTTTACATCGGGATCGGTTATCGTATAATAATATATCATCGACGTATTGGCATGCGAATTTCGGGAGAAAGGAAGGAACAACATATCCGTCTTGACTAATTGTAAGACGTTGGGTGGGCAGGTAGACATGGCTGTCGAAGAGATCCGAGTAGACGTCGTAAACTAGTTCTTCCATTGCCCTTCGAGATGCAGTAAGTGTTCTGTCACAACGACGGGAAGATATCTTGATCCTGCGGTGAAGGAAGCTCCGTTGGGTTTTGCGAATGCTTTTTCCGGTCTCGGAACTTTAGCCAAAACTGTTACTCTTCTCTTTTTCAGATTTTCTTCCATCTCTTGCATAGCTTCGCTAAATCGGACGTTATTGATGATTGTTTGTAGCTCTCGCGATTCCGTCCGGGTGTATTGTCTCTACAATCTTCGAAGAAAGGCTCACTAGTCTTCTTGTAGACTTTCCGCTTCTTTAGTACTATCGTAAAGATGTTCGACGAGCTGGTTACACTCTTCATCGGTGTTGTCGATAGCAGATTGTTCCCATAAATTGGAAAAGGGAAGCGAAGCAATTTTAATTGTCGACGGCCGTGAGCCTTCATTGCTGAACTCCCCAGCTCTCTTTCTCGCATTGAAAAACACAATCTAGCCTCGCATTGAAAAATACAATCTAGCATGGAAGAGACGATGATTTGATCACGTGAAGAACTTCGGAACATCACGCTATTCCAGGGTGAACAAGGGGCTCATTTATTGTGAGCGCTCTCTGATCGCCTCTCGTATTGTTTCCCAGTCACTCGGATGCAAGGTCATGCCTGAGCCGATATGCAGCACACCAACCGCTCGGTAGATTCTCCACCACGTGTGCGTGGATACACCTAAGAGGAGACCGAATGTATAAATCGACCCTGCTCAGCAGAAGTAGGGAGTTTACCCTAGAATTACCAGTAAATCTGTTCTGGAGACTTACTCCTCTATGCGCTACCTGGGTCGATAACGTCCAGTAACGTCGTCGGTGAGCGGCTAGAGATCCTTCATTGAGAAGAGCCCTTAGTTAGTAAGGAAAATTCGTGATCAATTTAGTATGCTTTATTACTTCCCCTTACAAAGATATGGTTGCTAATGCAGTAAACCTATTGACCTTCATGCTCTCGCGAGTTGAATCGGACCGTTTTACTTGGGCAGTGATGAAGCTTACTACTGTTCGATTTTTAGAAAACCTCTAGCCAGTTGGTAGGTAGACGGTCTACAGGTTGGCAATTGTTCTGCTATACGAAAGCCTCCCCAGAGAGTGCTGACGTTCTTTTGCTTTGTAAGCAAGCGCATTGACGAAACACGATCTTTGCTCAGCGGACAAGTCGGTGTAAAAGTGTAGAAAAAGCACCAAATACTTTAGGCAGCTGTTTCGCTACTGGCATTAAAAAGTTTAGTTTTGTGCATAGCAGTGCTGCACACATTTGCTTACTCCTTTTCGAACACCCGATTTGGTCTTCATTTTTGAGATTTATTTTTTGCGAGGGCAGCGTGGTTTCCTGACTTGCAGGTTTTGTATCACCTTGCTTCCTTCGCCATTACTTTCTTTTGACAAGAAATTACCTAATTCTCGGTTTTTTTTTGGTTGGTCTCTCAATTTTGGCTTAATCTGAGAATGTTTTGCCTCTGAGACACTTGTTAACATCACATTCTTGGGTATACGGGAAACGCGCATAGAATGTTCTCATTGATCTCTTTGCGGCGTTTTTGTGGAACCCATAACCACTCTGAGGCGAACGTCGCCAAGGTTGAGGGGAACTGCATTCACTGGAACTTGACCTAATATTTGTGTAATCAGTCAGATCTGTAGCTGGTAGAGTAGAACAGCGTCATAAATATAGCACTTCTTCAGAGCTTAACGGGAGCGCGGAGCTCTCATGTATGGCGTCGCTAGGAGCAACACGCTGGAGCTCTACGTTCTCCGATGTGCAGCGAGAATGCCGTTGAAGCCCTCAGACCCGGTCTTAAACTACTCTTCAAAACATGGTTCACTATCCACTGCCTTCCCCTCTGTTCCAACCCCTTATGTACTTTTTTCTTCGAAATTCTCCATGCTTGTTGTTTTCGCATGTATTATCTTCGAAGGTCAGGATTTCCAACTAGATTTTACTTTTGAATTTATTTGCAGATGAACTCAAACTTCTTACGTCGTTTACGAACTGCTAAATCGTTAAACGCTGTACTTACTGGTAGGTTCTTTTCTGGTACTGCTTATGGATTCTAACACTGATCCCAGTAATGCATAATCTTTCTCTTTGACAGATCGGTTGGGCGGTCGTCAATCAAAAAAACTTGTCATAGATTATTCTAGTCCGAATATCGCAAAGCAGTTTCATATAGGAAATCTACGATCGACATTAATCGGTAGATATCTTGATAAGGTCAGTTGTTCATTCAAACAGTACGGAGTAGATTATTTGGTTTTGTATTTATCAGAATAGCTTTCTTTCATTGTTTGTCAGATTACTGCTTAATGTAACGGTCGATCATTTGATTAACGATTGGCGGGGTTCTCCTGGGACGACTTTAGAACCAGGTTTAGCAATGCTCCTCACTGTCTGACGCAAGCGGTCGCGAGAACCACTAGTAGTTAGTTACACAAAAAAAGGAATAAAAGGGTTGAAGACCAATCAAGAAAAGAACAAAGATTAGACAAGGTTGGAAAAAAGGCTAGGAACTCGGCTTGCAATTCTACTCTGCAGTATAGGGACGGTTTTTCTCCTTGGAAAAGGGAGTATAGTGTTTATGATGATACACAATATTTACTTATTGTTGAAGGCCATAAATTTTTTGAGATGTGATCTGTTTTGAAACGCTAAGCAGAGGAGGGAAGTTTATACTGGTACTACTGGTACTTACTTAACGCCTGTCACTTTTATTTCAAAGATCAACGTACCGAAAAAAACATCTTGAGAGAGAAAATTGAAACTTGATTGTGAGTTGGTGCTAATGTTTATTTTTCCAAAGGCGAGAGAAGGTGATCCGGTTTGGGCAATCTAAATCTAACATGCTTTCCCCAGAAAGTGTCAAAGTTGTCGGGAAAATGAGATCAGAAAATATTTATTTATAGTCTGTGCCTATCAATCTACACGCCATTTCAGCACTTGTTCCTACGTAATGAAGCTTTTAGGTTCATCGTGCTATTGGTGATGACGTGACCACAGTGAACTACCTCGGTGACTGGGGTACGCAATTTGCGATGATTTCTACATACTGGCCACAGGTGAGCCAAAATTAGTTGAATTGAGCCTTAGGCAATTACGGTGCTTCTTTACATAAGAACCACATAAAAAATCGAGATCCAGACGAGCCAAACCACAATTCTTTTACTCATCCACTATTCACTCTTCTCATCTCGAACCTGAATCAATAGGCGTTTTCAGGGAATCAATCAGAATTCTGAAGTATCCTGCGTGTGCGTTAGTCATTAGATGTGTCGTGCTATCGATTTGCTTTGATGCTAAAAGCGTTTTCAAAGTAGGCTTAGCAGGAAACACCAGCGAACCATCCCACAAATACGTACCAAATCGCAATAAATATAACATCCTTCTTGAGGACTTGTACGGCTTTAGTGTGAATCAAGCGGATTGACGCTGTAATATGACTGGGTCTCTCTCCCTCGAGTTTTTTGGAGTGCTGGCCAGTAGCTGTGGTTGCGGAATGAGCATTGGATTGCGTATTAGCAGCGAGGTAACTCCGTAGGAAAGCAAAGTGGGGCATTATGCAAGGTAAGACTACAAACTGAGAGTCGTTGCTAGCTAATATTAGCAAATTGGACAAGTTTAAATACTATTCATGAAGTTCCACATCGTACAACTGATTTCTCAAGATTTCTTTTTTCAAGGTGCGGCCATCGGATTCATATTGGAACTCATGTGGTGATGTTGACAAAATTCGAGCCCTGACTGATTGTTACGTTGTTGCAAACAGAAAAGGGAAGGTGGATGAGAATTTCAGGGAGAAGGTTCGCGAAACATACGCAGAAATGGAGAACAGCATAGCGACGTATGTGCCATTCATATTCAAAGTCACGAAGGAAGTGGGAAATGTAGATTTTTACAGAGGAGACTTATCCTCTCCAACTATGCAACTGTGGCGGGACATTCGAGAGCTTTCCGAACGACATTTGAACCATTTCTACTCCATGTTGAACATTGAATTCGATAGGTTCGCTTTGAGCTTTATTTTTTCTCATAACTACATATTCTGGATCTGTTAGCATGATTTAGCTTTCCTTACGTATAGTCTTGTACAGGTGGCAATATGAGTCTTCATATGTTAATGATGCTCGCTGTTTGGTTGCTGACATGGTGAAGAATAAGGTAGCTCGTCAAACTGCCAATGGATTATTGGTTGTGGATTTCCCTGGTGATGAACTTGAGGAGTATGCGGTTGTAAGAAAGAGCGACTCTACTACGATATATCTATCCAGGTTAACACAGACACTATAATTCAAGTAGATTTTTTTTGCGAGTGCCAGTTTTCGGCCAATGTATGCCAGCGCATGAAGAGTTTTGTCGATACGCACGGTGGTCTTTTGACTGAATTGATCGTAATGGTAGTGTTTACAACAACTCACCAGGCAGGAATAGTTTACTTACTATGGAACTTAGAATGGAGACCCAGTCGAATCAGTAGAGCTTTGAATACTGTTTACGAATATGGACATTAAAACTGCGAAATGGCCTTCCCAAAAAAATATTGTGAAGGCTTCAAATTCGAGACTTCAATTTGATGGTAGTGATTTCGCATCACCGGCAGTAGATGCGGGTTTGCTCTTCGCTAACGTCGAATTTTTTGCACTGTACTCTTTAATTTAATTAGGAGCTTCCAAAAGTTCTGACATTTGTTCAAGTAAAGGCCTTATTTCTGCTTTAAGTTGTGCTTTTCGCACCTATTCATGACAAAGTGGCTCCCCACGTGAATTATATGACTGCTTTACTCTGATCTCCATAGGTCATGCAATAGAAAGATGCTAGAGATATACAAGATGTCAGTGAGGAACTCGACATCAATGGAAAAACCTTTAAAAATGGTGAAGCACACATGTTGCTCACAAACTGCACTTCTTGTACATGCTACTTCTCTACAATCGTGGACAAAACAGCCATTTGTTTCAAGATTGAACAACTGCTCGCCAGGAGAGATACATTAGCCTGATTTTCATCAAGACGCCTTGCCTCACACCAAAATCATTCCAAAAAATTAGGCAAAAGCTTCAGAGCTCCAAACCTAGAGGGCAGAGTGAAGAGGCAACACTCATGACCAAGGAGCTCACAGTCAATTGAATCACGACTTGTGTTCTAGGAAGTAGGAATGCTCACCAGGAATTCTACCTTATTGTAGCCTCCTGATCGTCCTTAGTGTACCGTCTCCATCAAACAAGCTGCGAGGCGGGTCTTTACGAGCACTTCACTACAGGATGCAAAATTGCTGTCTACAATTTTCCTGCCGGTGCACCGTCAATGATTCACTCATAGGACGTCTTCTTCTCGATCCTGTCTAAGAAAGACGTGAAAAGGACCAGATGAGAGCTGTGATTTTTTGAACAGCGGAATTGACTATGACACGGAGAGGGATGCACTCAAGTATACCGCATGCTTTGTGCACCCTTTCAGATTTTTAAAAATGCGGTACAAGGCAGGCTATGTTCATGAAAACTCAGGCTCGTGTGTCACTCCTGACGAGTATGGCTGCTTTCATTGTCCGCCGGCCGGCGCGCGAGCGAGCCGGCTGACGTAAAACGAATTAGTTCGTATGTAAGGAATCTACATCTGTTGCATTTTATGTCACGGTCAGATTCTTTACGGTTCTGACCGTGGAATAAAATGCAACAGACGTATATTTCTTACACACAAACTAATTCGTTTTACGTCAGCCTGTGGACTTTGTTCAATCTTGAGGGAAATGGCTGTTTTGTCCACGGTTGTAGAGAAGCAGCATGTATAAGAAGTGCAGTTTGTGAGCAACATCTGTGCTTCATCATTTTTTAGAACTTACCATCAATGTTGAGTTCCTCACAGACATCCTGTTAATCTCTGGCATCTTTCTGCTGAATGTTTTTTGAAGCTCAAAATGAAATAGAGTCATACGATTAACGTGCAGAATCATTCTTCCTTGCATAGGTGCGACAAGCGCGAGTGAGAGCAGAAAAGAGGCGTCCACTGGAACAAATATCAGAAAAGGTTTTAAAGCTTGCAATGAAATTAAAGAGCACTATGCGGGGAGAAAACCCGCATCTTCCGCCTCTGAAGCGAGACCACTACCACTACACCACGTCGACCCTTGATATCCAAGTGACGAGCTCGCATTTCCAACTGACCTTACTGTCAAGCGAATGGGACACCACAACATACTTGGAAGAGTCATTTTGCAGTTTTCATTTCCAGATTCGTAGACAGCGTTCAAAACCCTATCGACTTATCCGAGTATTCATTCAAAGTTCCATGGTAACTACTCTTCCTTGGAAAGTCATGACCATCTGATTAATCGCGTCACGTATCGTTCCGATGCATATGTGACCTAACTAATGACTTACGGTCACCGTCCCATGCACACGTGGGTGCTTTTATCCTCGAGACCCTGGAGCGATGGAAGGCCCGATCGGCCGGAGGAGGTGAGGGGCATCGATTCTCGCAATATGCGTGTGTGATAATGTGCCTTTTCACAATCACTATCAATTGGTTTTGATCATATAAAAAAGTGGACCTCAATACCATCATTCCAGTTTATTCCTCAACCAGTTGGGCCGCCCGGTTTACGCCGGGCCCTCATTCATTACATTTATTAATCAATTAGAAATGTTCCCCCCCC